AGGTCACCTTTAACCCAGATGTGTATGACAATTTAAACGTCTTCTTGTGTCACAGGTATCAAGCCAGCACTATCCTTTACCCATCATTATGTCTCTGGTGATCAGCTCCTTTGGGATAAAATCACACAATTCTCATACTCTCAGACTGAGCCGTGGGTTGCAGTTCTGTGTCTCAGTTTGTGGTAAGCAGGAGATCCAAGCAGGAGATCTGTACTTGCAGGCACCTGCAAGGTTGTTCTCTCCAAAAGCAATGAGTGGTAAAAAGTAACCAGCCTACCTAAAGCAAAATATTACTTATTTAGAACAAAAGTATTTTGGTAAAAAAAGTATGTTTTGAAACAATTTATACATGTCCTTTTCCTTCAAGTTAACCATCTCCTGAATCTAAAAAGGCTTTATATGCTTTTTAATATTCCCTCTGTTCTCTTTCCTTCTGTGTCAGTCTGTCTCTCTAGAGTTTCTAATAAATTACACTTTTCCCAACATTTCTGAGTGCCTTTGTTTCTCTTTAGTGCTTTTGATGCTCACAATCCCAGTTTTGGCAAAATTAAGTTTGCAGTCTATGGAATAACACCTCTTCTATTTAAAGGATAATATACCAAACAGAACGGGAGATTAGCTGTTCGTAGTACAAAGGCTGTAGGCAAATACAGAATGGGGATTAATCATGCTTGGCAACAATTCATATAGAACACTGATTTTGAAATTGAAATTCACAAGCACCCATTTTATATGTCAGTGGTTGTCAACTGGGGATACTCGTAACCCTAGGGGTATTTGGAAAGGTCCTAGGGGGTACATGTGGGCAGGCGGGGACCGAGCGCTGCCACCCACCACCCCGCCCAACAGCCTCCCAGGAGCAGGGCCGGGGGGAGAGGCAAGGGCAGCGGCACCCCCTTGTGGGCCAGACAGGCACCACCTGGCCAGACACAGGTGGGGGGAGTTCATGCGTAGGCCGCCACCCCACGCCACTTTCCCACAGCCAGTCGCACATGCAGCTCCACAGGCTGCTGATGGGCAGCACGCAACTGGCCGGGTGCGAGGCCTGTCAGCAGCCCGCAGAGCTGCATGTGTGACTAGCTGTGGGAAGTGGGGGGCAGTGGGTGGCGGTGGCTGCTGCATGCAGGGTTCACCCTTCCCCCCTCTCCCCCCGCTCCACATCTGGCTGCCACCACCAGGAGTACACTTCTTTAAAAAGATTGAAACTCCATTCTATGTGACTAGTTAGGAGTGGGCATGCTTTTTTTTCTTTTGTAGCTCAGTCACATTATAGGGAGTGTTGAAACGATAGATGCAGGGGCAAGAACTTTGAGGATGCATGTGGAACAGTGTATCCTTAATTTTTCTAAGTCTTATTCCAAAATACAAAGTTCTGTCAGCGTGCACCTTTGCTGGCATATGCTGCATCTACATTGGGGGTCTAAGAATATTGCTCTCTTATTGAAGTAGCATTAGCCCCATTGTGCAGATAAAGACTGTGTAATGAGGTCCACTACCCCACTACTTGGGCACTGGATTAGCATATGATTAGCCTTTTAAGTGATGGGCACTGCCTACATCTGGTTCTGCTTCTGGCTCATGATTCTAGCCCAGGGACTAAGATATCTGGAGAGCCAGAGAAGGAGGTAGTTCTGAAAAAGTCATCATGACTGCTAGTGGAGTGCTAGATATTTTGCTAGAGCAGAAGCTGCAGGGCATAATGGAGGGACATAAGTGCTAGAGTAAAAGATGAGAGAATTAGCTGGTATAAAGTACACTGAAGGGCCAGACACTGCAGAAGCAGGCCAGTAGGTAGCTAATGGTCTGGAAGTAATGGAGAAAGCCAGAATGGAGAGGTCATGTCAAGGTATCTATGTGAGGAAGGAAGGCCATTTTGTTTGTAATATACAATGAGTTAGACTGTTTCAGGATTATGGACAAGGCAAGAAGATGTTGGACTGGCATGATCCAGGTTGGGGTAATCATGCAGTTTAATACCAATGTTGACCATTGTTGACAGCACTCTGCAACATAAGACAAATGGTCATCTATGCATTCTGCACAGCAGAGATGTACAACAGCCATACGTAAGGGCAACTGCTTTTGCCTGCTCCTTACTGCTGCCATTAATTATAAAGAAATGAGGTAAAAGATGCAAACAGCACAAGAGCTAAAATTTGAGTCTCTGACCTACTAAACACTGCCCTGGACATACTGTAAGTCTTGCAGAAGAAGAATGTATTGCAATTACACATTGAGTGGAAAATGAATACTTTATATAGCCCAATACTAGGGAAGCTTTATTTTGGGATGGAGCTGTAACAAGCAACATAAATGTTTATACATTACATAAATCTATGTCCAGGAGATTCACTGCAGGTCACGTTTTTCCCAGTTAAAAACTGAAGATCGTTTACTGATTTTCAACTCTTAAACAGTTATAAAATGGCATTTGTTAAACTGTTGTAAGTATTCATTGGTTGCACTGCTGAAGGGAAGAGCAGTTTATGGTCAAGTAGATTCCCAAGCAGAAATTTTTTTATGCAGGGTCTGTCTTTATGAGAGTGCTGTCTTCTAGGAAAAAGGCTAACTTAATTATTCTTAGAAAGGCATTAGGTAAGTAATGTTAAAATGTCCTAGGAAAGACTCAACAGATTATTTAGACAAAAACACAGGTTGGGAAAGGGATTGTGTATATGGTCGTTACGATTCTTTCCCTCATCTTCTCTCCGCATGTACAAAATAATAATACAAAAAAATTACAAACCAAAATCTTGGCAGACTCTGTGGAATATCTGGATTTAAAAAAGCCAGCGTGCATTTTTCCCACTGGGACCATGTCTGACGCTATCAGTTACTGAAAGTCCTGAAGTCAAGGAGTAAAGGTATGATAGAATTTGACTGACACTTCCAGTGTAAACATCGTGATCAGTAGTTAGTTTGACCAATCTCTACAGAGCAAAAGGATTGGCATGAATTGTGATGTCCTTAATATGAACATCGTTAAGAGGTCGATAGGTTTTCTCATTCACTGGCAACTTCTCCAACTCATCCAGGGTCTCCAAGCCATCAATTACCCTGGAAAAAAAGCAGAACAATTAGGAGATTCATAATGAAAGGTCTATTTTTTATACTCTAGGTATCTCAAAGTTCTTTGCAGCGAATCTATAACTTACAAGGCAAGAACTGAGGAAGCAAGTAAGGCAGCATACTGTTTGGACAATTGGATGCTAATCTATTTGAAACAGAAATTTAAGTGTCCATGAGTGACTCCTGGATGATGACCAGACAGGAAACTATTGTAAATCAAAACAGAAGAACTTCAAAGAGAATAATAGTAATACTCCCATAATCAAAGTTCACACCTCAGTGTTCTTTCCCCCAAATTTATTTATGCACCACCTTTCCTCTCAGAAGCTAAATTAGAATCAGCATCAGTAAAATTGGACTTGCTGGACAACTGGTGAAATATGAGAAACAATAACTACAAAAACAAGTCATTCTGATCTACCCCATCTCTGCTCTGTACAGGACAAGCAAAATAATTAAGGGATCAGTCCATCATATTCTTACTCAAGCAAGAAGTCCTTACTATGAGTAACTGTATTTAATTTAATTCAATAACTTGTAGGAGTAAAATAAAGGGTTTGCAGGATGAGGTTATATATTTAATGCTTTAGTTTAGTTTCACATTAATAATGCTTGTGAACTAACAACTACAGGATATTTCAGACAAGATTGATTTTTACAGGTCTGTTATGCTTGCTCTGGTATAATATCAGTCATAACATGATGATAAGGAGGTATATTGCTGAATCACTCACTTCCCAAAGACAGTATACTTCATATCCAGATGTGGCTGCTTGCCATATGTGATAAAGAACTGAGATCCATTGGTGTTAGGACCATTATTTGCTAAGGAAACAACTCCGCGGACACTGTGCTGGAAGAGATACCAGAAAGGGAAAATATGCATAAACACTCTTGCTTTGGTGAACACAGGACTGCGATACACATGCAAGGGTCAATTACTTTATGCTTCAAGTCCCAAACTTTTAAAAAATATGAAACAAAAGTTGATCCCCTGCTAACTGCCAATCGTGATCTACTACTAACTCCTCAGATATGCCCCAAGTTGAAATACTTTCCTTACCCCCAAAGGAGCATGAAAGACATCTCACAGCCATACAAATTCCTTGTTCCCATGATCTGCAGAAACAGACACCCCTAACTCTGCCCCTTCCCAAACTATTGAGACTCCTGTATCCCACTTCTAGCCTCCAACAATTACCATCAGCCAGTTTTTCTGGTGCTGCTCTTCCTCTACTCCTTGGAATGCATTTTTGTTATGAAAAATGTCTATATTATAGAGCATAGAAATACCTTTAGGTATTCACTGAATTCATCTTCAAACTTCCTGCCCCAGATACTGCTACCTCCTTTCCCAGAGCCTGAGAAAGAAAAAAAGTGATGTGAATATATTACTACTTTCTCAGATTGGGGAAAAAAAATCACTGTTCACTGCCATTTTCAGAAAACTCGCCTAATACACTTACATCAATTGAAACACTTAGAGAACTCAGTCTGCTGGGCCAGGGATTAGGATTTTGTTGTTTATACAGTATGTAAAACATACAAGGCCCTGATCCTGAATGGGGTGCTCATACATCAATAACACAATTTATAGAAAAAGGGATTGTGATATTCACAGATTCAATTCAATATGACTGTGAGTGGCAGGAGAAGTGAATCAAACTTTCCTCCAAATGGCAGCCACTCTGTGGTAGTTGTCCCAAATGCTAGAGATATTTTGGAGACAGCATAGTCTTGGTATAGAAACAGGAACGCTAGTCACTGACTACCTGTGCAACCTGTGGCAAATAATGGTGGTAATAATGCACATCAGCCATTATCTGATCTGCTTAAATTTGTGTAGTGGTTTGCATCTGAACTTAGCTACATGAGTGTATTATTTTAAATCCAGAGTTAATGGCTGTTTACCTGAATTAAATATTTTTTCACAGAAACCTACCTAGATAATTACAATTTCTCTAAGCAGCTATGATGCATCTTATTTTCCTGCCAAACCTGAGAGCGCACATTGTATCAGACACTGATAGAAAGATTTACCTGCTGGATCCCCTGTTTGTACCATGAAGCCCTTAATATTCCGATGAAATATGCAGCCATTGTAGTAGTTACTAGCACAAAGAGCCAGGAAATTCTACAGATGAAATTGCAAGAGTGCTTTATTAAGAAACAATTCAGCAGTATTCTATTATGTTACAAAACACCTTGTGGTATCCCAAAAGCAACTTTGTGAAGATTGGCAAAGCTAACTTAGCCCTTCCTACTTTGCAATGCAGGGAGATGCTGCCATCAGTCTGCTTCTAGCTCCTGAAATATGTACAAATCCAGTTATCCAGGATCTCTCATTGTCTCTCCTTTCTTAAGACTTATAAATACAAGCTGTACTAATAACACAAGGTAAACTACTACTATTTTTCACATCAAAACCAATCTATGAGGGCTGGTGAAATTTCTGCAGACAATATATGGAGGAAAAGATCTAATAGAGACATGTGACTCTTAAATACAACACAGGCACAACACTCTTATACATGTAACCAGTGATGTATCTAATTTCAGACAGGGACTGCCCTAGTTTTATTCAGTAACAGACAAAATAACAGGACAGATGCTGCATCACATTTATGTGCATTAACTCTTAACTGAAATCAACAGGACTACTTGCAGTATCCGAAGATATAAACGTGAATCTTAGCAGTTTTGTGGCCAAAGTTAGAAAAAAAGAAATTGCAAATCACTCCTATATTCTGTCTGAGACAAGGGCCAGTACCAGATGCTGTAGAAGAAGGTGCAAGACCCATCATAAACAAATTAGGAATAATCTACATATATCAGGTTTTATTTCTAATTCTTGCTATAGTAAGTTGATTATTCTCTGAAGCATGCAGTTTGTGTCTTATGCAATAAGATATTTTCATTATTTATAAATCTTGCTAAATTCTTGGCCTTACTGATGTCATGTGACCATGAGTTCAACAGGTTATTCATGTACGGTATCAAAATTTACTTCCTTTTATCAGTTTTGAACATGTTCCTTTTTAATCTCAATGGAAGCTCTTCTATTATATGGAAATGTACATGAAGATGCCAAGTTTACTTTTTCTCTACCATTCATTATTTTGTTTCCATCATGTCCTCTCTTATTTGTCTTTCCTGAACACTGAACAGTTCAAGTCTTGTCATATTACTCACTTCACAAGCCTTAGGAGTTCGTTCACAGAACAGCTCTATTTTAATATCTCCCACATCAGTGTGCAGAGTAACAGCCTGAGAGAGAGACAGAAGAAAATCATTAACCAGCCTCTTGACTTAAAAAAGCAAAAACCAAGTCTCAAGCCCTGCTTCATTTGCTAGTCACCCTGGAGAGGTAAACATTTCCCTGTTAACCATTATTTTGATTCCTGTTCATATCTCTGGGCATGCAATATTAAACTGGTAGCATATCTGGATTTGTTCCTATATTAGGTGAATTAACTCAGCCTGTACGTTGGGCATCTCAGTTACAAACAAAACCCTGAACTGCTTAAAAAAACCTGAACTGCTTAAAAAAAAAACAGTAATAAAACTGGGAGCAATAATACATCACTGACTGCATTAGAGCTTTCTCATTATGCTGTCTAGAAAGGCTATGAACAGATGTTGTCTTTGAAGCAGGAGTAGCTGCACCAGCATACGTCCCAGCAGAGCTGATCTGCTTCACTGGTGTTTACAGATGTTGCCGGGGACCATTTTTACACAGGATCAGGCCCCTGATGCTCCAGGTGCCAGGTCCCAAGTTGGAATACAGCAGCAAGATACTTGCACAGTGGGAATCCCTTGCAGGGGATCCTTGCATCCTGTGTTTGCAAGTGGGGACATCCCTATACAGATTCTCCTATTTGTAGATGTGTGTCCCAAATTGGGGAATGGCAGCCTGATGCCCACACCATAGGAATCCACTATGTAAACACATGGGAATTCCCCTGCAGAGTATTTGGAGTAATGCAGCTGTTCAGCCTGAGTTACACCCTGGGGCTACATTTTCATCTGTAGGAACACCACAAATAGAGTGAACTCAAAAGTAACATGGAAAAAGTCATGACTGTGAAGAGCCTAGCCAGTCATTTCTCTGCCCAGCCACAACAAAAACCTGGGTTTATTCCAGTTTTGTTCAAAGACACCACTGCTTGTGGGGTATGTAATTCTGTCTATAACGGGAAAGAAAGACTTCCTTACATGACAAAACTGCAACCTTTCAGGTTACTTTAAAGACAGCACTGATGGGCTCTGAAAGGTATCCTATAAACCCCTCCCTATGAAAGATGATGGCTTCAAAATGCAGTTCTCTTAGTAGCCAGTGGTATGTTTGATTATGCATTCTTATATACAAGCACAGAGCAAACTTCCAGGAAAGTATGGTTTAAGCAGAGTAAGCAAGCATGTGCTGAAGTGTTGACTTTATTAGGGTGGAATGTGCTGAGAATTAAAAATAAAAGAGTAAGGTGACATGCTAATATAGGATGAAAAATGGTTGTTAACCAACTGGCTCCAAGACATCTAGACAAGGCCAAGAAGAATAATAGGGTAAACAAGTATAACCAATTGTTTGGTTATGACATATCACCCCTTCCTCGAACCTATACAGAAAAGCCTCAAACAACTGCAACCCATACTAGAAGAAGACCCAATTCTTGAAGAGATCTTCTCAGAACCACGCATCCTAGCCTTTAAACGAGCACTGAACCTCACTAACCTCATCACCAGAAAAAAACATCCTCCGGCCCAAACACACTGAATGGATCCACACCATGCCATGACAAGAAATGTAAAACCTGCCAACATATCTCCATCACCCCCACAATTACTACACCTCACAACAAAACCATCAGCATTCCTGGATCTTACAAATGCACATCCAGAAATGTAATATATCTCATCCAATGCACCAAATGCCCCGATGGAAAATATGTAGGAGAGACCAAACAACAACTGTGCACCAGAATGAATGCACACTGGAAATCTATCACGAGTACTGAACAGGAGTACTCATGACCCAGGCTGGGCTCTGGATTATTCATAATTTGTTGCTGTCTATGAAAAACTCCGGGGGGACTTGGTGGCAGCCTAAAGTATATCAGGGGCATACAGCAGGGCTTGGGGAAGCATCTAGTCAGCAAGGCCCCTAGGGCAAGACAAGAAATAACAGGCAGAAACCAACTGAAGATTGCTTCAGGCTAGACACAAGAAAAAAGTTCTTCATAAGCCAAGTGCTGAGGGTTTGGACCAGGCTCCCCTAAGAAGTGGTACAGTCACCCACCCTAGTGATCGTCAAAAAACGTCTTGACCCCAGCAGTCTTTCCTGCCCAAGTGCAGAAGGGCTGGACCCAATGATCTGTTAGGCCCTTCCAGGCCCTAACAACTATAAAACTATGAAAAAAATGCTATTTATTAACTATCAAGATCCAATCAATTACCCACCTATTAGTGACAGAGCTAGCATTTCAGAGCACACAGATAATTAAATCAGAGCGTTTATAAAGAAAAACAAGCTAACCAGAGTGAAGACAAAACCTCACTCATTGTACCAGACATCTGTATGGAAAACAATGCAACATCTGCATGTTTTTACTATATTTAAATGTAAAGAAGGGAAGCTGTTTAACTGGAATCTCTGTGAAGACAGTTTGTCTATTCTAGCTCAGATATGCAATATTAATTAGACAGTTACAGTGAGACTGACATCTTTGCTTTTCCAGAGCATATTGTCCAGAAAACAACAAAACAGAAAGTTGAGATTTTTACAATATGGAGGTAATTGTGGGATTATCTGGGACACAGAGCATCTGTCCTGTTTTCAAGAAATACCAGTCTCACAAAATGTAAAAGTATATAAAAACCCCTTTCTGCCTCACCATCCCTTCTCATTAGGTGTCCAAGTGTCCAATGTGCAGACATATGTAATGGTTTCCTGCAAAGAAAATACAGTTATTTTAATTCCTATTCATCATTTCCTTTTAATTCTAAAACTCACTAACATCTACATCATGTGGCTTACATGCATTTTATAAAAGCCATGCATTACTTTGAGAGCTACAAATTAATAGAAAAAAAGTTCTTACAGTTAAGAGACGTATGAAAAAAAAGCCTTTTTATATGATGAAAGACTGAAAAAATTGTGACCAGCATAGAAAGCCAGAAGGGACCTTTTTTGGCCTCCTGTGAAACACAGGCCAGAAAATCTTATCCACCTGTTACAAACTCACACCCAAATGAGGAAAATTTGGGGCATTCAAGGAGTGTCATGAATAGATGTTTTCCTGAATTAAAAACACTAATATGGTGTTGGGTCTCTGTAGCTAATGTTAAAATGTGTTTAGTTTTTATTATTTTTATGTTTCAATGAACCATGCTATTTGATGTATATGTATTTTTGTATTTTAAGCAGGGATCCTGGTTTTCTATTTAAAAATCCCAAATTCTCTAATTAAAAACCCCACAAAAATTCCAAATGATCTTATTAAAAACCCCCAAATCAGTGTTTTTTCTGCGATTAAAATGAAATATCACTATATATATAGGTATTAGTTGAACACAATGTTTTATTAATATATTTACAATTTAAAAGCAATCTGGAAACCTACCAATGCCTCAATCATTATAATAAAGTCTAAATTTATATATATTTTGGCATGTGATTTTAGTTTTTTTATCATGGAAAATCAGAGCCCCCCCCTTTGCTCACCAGGACACAAATCCAGCAGCAGCTGTTCCTCCCTGCTGCTTTGTGGCACTGAGCAGCCCTGATATACCAGTGCCCTGCCCCTGCCCATTTTGTTGCTCCTCACTTCCAAGCAACAGTCCTCACAGCCATGCTGGTGCCCCTCACTCCCAACCCACAGCCCTTCCAGCGCCCCTCACTCCCAGCCCACAGCCCCCTGGTCCTGCTACTGCCCCTTACTCCCAGTGCCAGCCCTGCCCTGCTGGTGCCCCTCACTCTGAGTCACAGCTCCCTAGTCCTGCCAGTGCCCTAGTGTGTGGGGAATAGGGTGGATGTGTGGAGGGTGGGGAGTGTGGGCACAGGTGATGTCAGGGGAGATGGGGGAGCACAGGCAATGTGTTGTGGGGCAGGGGAGGGCACATCTTGGGGGATGCAGAAATCTGGGAGGCATGCGCCTCCAATTCCCCTCCCCAACTGTCACCTGTGCTCCCTGCCACTCCCCGCCCCCCCACCTGTGCCCACTCTCCTCTCCCATAGACTTACCTGGAGGGAGCTGTTCTCCACCACACTGCCTGGCTGCCACATGCAGGTGTGCACACACGCATGCATATAGCACCCTCTACCCCCTGCATCCAGCTCCTCCCAGTCCCAAGCAGCCCATTACAGGCTGGAACTCTGCCAGTCTACAAGGGGAAACCCATGGTTTCCAGGGTTTTTCTCCTTTAAAAGAGAAAATCCGTGTTTTTCCACAGCAAATGGGAAACTCAGATCCCTGTATATAAGGAACTCATATTAGCCTGTCAAAGGATTGTTGATTAGCTGTCAGGATAGACAAAGACTATTTGCAGCTAAGAGGAACAATGCTTGGTTAGCTAAGGAAAAGAAATCACTGAGAGTTCATATGAGAAATGGCTATGCAGACATTAGCTGAGCTGAGCTGAGGTATGTGAGTGGAGACCTGTTCCCAGACAATGGGTGTTTACATTTCAAACAGGAAAGGAGTTAGCTGGGGGAAAGTCTAATCAAAAACCTTTAAATAAATATGAGTATGAGACTGTAACTCTTTGTCATAAGTGATAGCTAGGGATACTGGATCAGGTGTCTGAAAGGATGTAAATATTTCCTAGGTAGGCCAGCATCAGGAAAGAAGTCTACTCTGACAAGCAGGGCTCATGCCAGGGGTGTCAAGCATCCGGCCAGCAGGCAGGATCTGGGCTGTGAAGCCGGGTCAGGGTGCTGCTTGTGGCCTGGGCCAGTCCGCGAGGCTGGACCCTGTCCACAGACCCCGCCCCCCCC